TGGGCTGGCCTCCTGCCCCATCCGGTAGCCGACAGCAGAGCAGGGTGCAGCATACTGGGTTCTGGGGCAGGAGTTGGGGGAGAACCAGGCTCACCCTCTTGTCGATGGCTGTTCTCTCCCTCCAGGTGAAGGAGAACAACTACCGGGGCCATGGGGACAGCGTGGATCAGCTCTGCTGGCACCCCAGCAACCCTGACCTCTTTGTTACAGCGTCCGGGGACAAAACCATCCGCATCTGGGATGTCCGCACTACCAAGTGCATTGCCACTGTCAATACCAAAGGTGAGTCCCTGCCTTCCCAGGAGAGCTGCTGGGTCCTGGTAGGATCTCAGCTGTGTGGGACCCATCTGCAGTGGCACAATGCTTTGGACCCTTCAGGGCATCGTTGCTGACTGCTTTTATATTTGTGTTGCACTCATATGCAAGCAGTGAACATGAAGGCTGATTTACTCTGGTGTCAGGACTGGAAAAACTACTGAATACAATGCTGGCTGTTAAAATGTCCTGTGTCTCTGCAGTCTGTGGGCTGCAAGGCTGGGGACTGGGGAAGAGCATGTTTGCAGAGAGCCATGGTTGGAAGTAAAAGGTTGCGTGGATTCAGAAAACAATTATTTGAATTCATGTGCTGGTTAACCCAGATACCATCTCTGCCCTTGGAAATCTCCAATTTTGAGTTGTTGGGGCTGGGAATGGCATTGTAAGATGTCATAACTGCAACCTGCCTTCTTATCTTCATTCATAGGTATTTATTGTTGGCTTCTGCTTTATCTGGATCTCAAAGATCACTGCATTCAGAGGATCTTTGAGTTGACCTTGTTTGGGGGTTGCTGTGGTCCCATTTTGGCTGAAATGGGAAGGGCAGTGATGTAGTCATGTTGGCTTGAAGCTGCAGTTCTCTTCAGTTTGATTTTTCAGTAACTGTACGTATTTGCTGGACAGCTACTGTACAGGGTTTGTGTGTTAGACTGCAGACCTGGCAGTCTTTTCCATTTGGGAGTGGTTTGGAGTTAGTGGAGCAGATTGTGGCCTGGAATCAGGAATAAAAGCTGCCTGTCTGCTTAACTGGTGGCTGCTGTGGATTGTTGGGTGGAAACGGGACCTGCTGTCTTCCTGTCCCTGCAGGGGAGAATATCAACATCTGTTGGAGCCCTGATGGACAGACCATTGCAGTGGGGAACAAGGATGATGTGGTCACTTTCATTGATGCCAAGACCCATCGCTCCAAAGCTGAGGAACAGTTTAAGTTTGAGGTGAATGAGATCTCCTGGAACAACGATAACAACATGTTCTTCCTCACTAACGGTAACGGCTGCATCAACATCCTCAGGTAGGTGCTCGTGGCAGCAGGTGGGCAGAGTAGCTGGACTGGCTGCGGCAGATGTCAGTCTGCAAGCCCCTTTGCTGCTCTTGGGGAACCCAGGTCTCACACCCCAGCGATTCCCGGCCCTCTGGTGGGAACAAACTTGCCTGGAGCTCAGGTTGCCCCAGTTCTGGGCTGGGTTCCCCGAGAGCGACCCTGATGCTTTGTCTCATTCACTTGGCCCACAAGATTTCCAAGAGTGTGGCCCTGCACCAGTTTGGTTTGCTCACAGTCCCAGTGTGCCTCAAGTCTTCCCTGCTTGTATATGAGCCCTATGCTTCTCTCACTGCTTCCTGCCCTCTCCCTTCATCTCTACAGCTACCCAGAGCTGAAACCCATTCAGTCCATCAATGCCCATCCTTCAAACTGCATCTGCATCAAGTTTGATCCCATGGGGAAGTACTTTGCCACAGGCAGTGCTGATGCATTAGTGAGCCTCTGGGATGTGGATGAACTGGTGTGTGTGAGGTGCTTCTCGAGGTAGGTAGTGCTGTCCCGAAGACGTTTGCCTCCCCTCTCCGGTGACCATATGGAAGAGGGCTCACTGTCTGCTTCATTCTGCTGCAGGCTTGACTGGCCTGTGCGAACACTGAGCTTTAGCCATGATGGGAAGATGCTGGCGTCAGCATCAGAAGATCACTTCATTGACATTGCAGAGGTGGAGACAGGTAACAGTTTCATTTTGGGGAACAGCAAGGAGGGAATCAGATGGAGAGGTGCTGGTGGAGCTGGGAGAATCTGTCTGCTAAGGAAGAGCTTGGCTGTTCAGAGCAGAGCGCCGTGAGGGGGAGCCTCTGCCTCGTTAGTCTGTGGTAGACATGCATGTCATGTCTGTGCCTTGTCACCAGGTGATTAAAAGGCGCTGAAGCTGTGTTTTCTGTGCCCTGCGTGGGAGAGAAGCAGCAGGTGCTTGGCTCTGGTGTGCGCTACGGTGCAGCATGCAGTGGAGGGCTGGAGGCTCTCCAGGCTGATGTGGCCCCTTTTCCATGCAGGAGAGAAGCTCTGGGAGGTGCAGTGTGAGTCCCCCACCTTCACAGTGGCCTGGCACCCGAAGAGGCCACTGTTGGCCTTTGCCTGTGACGACAAAGATGGCAAATACGACAGCAGCCGGGAGGCAGGCACCGTCAAGCTCTTCGGGCTCCCCAATGACTCCTAATGAAACCGCACCACGGAAGGCAATGCTCCCCTGCTCTCGGGGATGGGAGAGTGGTTAGTTAGTGTAGGTCGGGGCAAGGAGATGGCTCTGGTCCTTGCCTGCTTGGCAGTGCTGCGACCTTTGGCTCCGCTCTGTGTGTACTGCTCTTGGGAGCATTTGTAAAAAAGCAGCTTTTGTGCTGGGGAGGATGGGGGCGATGCTAGCAGGGGCCCCCTTGCTGTCTGAGGGCTGCCGCCTCCTCTCTGGGGCATGGAGGGCTTGTTCCAAAGGCAGGTGGCCAAAGAAACATCAATCACTGAAGGTGACTGCTGAGTAGCCTCCCCTGAGAGAAGCTCTGCTCTGGACAGGCTCCCCAGCAGTGGTAAGCTACGTGACCTTGTCCCCAGCGGCCTGGTGGTGAGAGCAGCCCTGGGAGCACAGCCTGCCCCTTCCCCTCCCAAACATCCTGTGTCCCTTTCCCGCAGTGGGGCAGCGAGGGGAGGGTGGTGGGATGCAAGCTGGGGGATGTTTCCCCCGCTGGGCCTTTTTTTTTTTTTTCTTTTTTTTTTTTTTTTTTATGTGTGGTTGTTTTTTCTAATTTTGATAAATCCAGTTCTGTAATGCAGGTGCATCTGGCTGCTGTGGGGGCAGAAGGGGATGCTGAGCTGCTCTCCTGCGAGAGCTTTCCCTTCCCCTGCCTCCTTCCCCTTGGCCATGGCTAGGGCCTGGCTGAGGGGTCTTATGTCGAGGGGCTGTCCCCCGTGTCCCCCCACGCTGTCCCCGTCTCCTGTCCTGCGCTGTCCGCCCACCAGGGGGCGCTGCGCCCCCACACCGGGGTCACGCGCCACCAGGGACACGGCGCGGAGGATGAGGACAGCCGCAGGGACCCGTCCCAGCCCCGCGACGGCGCTCCCACC